CGACAGGGGGGTTGAAAAAAGGGGAGGGGTGAGGATGAGGATGAAGATGAGGAAGAGGACAAAGAGGAAGATGATAACAGTGATGATGATGTTGGTGCTGATGTTGATGATGGTGTTAAAAGTAATGACGATGTCGATGACAATGGTGTCGATCATGATAGTGGTGATGGGAAGAACAATGATGACGAGGATGAGACGATGGGAATACAGTGATGACAGTGATGACAAGTGTTGATGAGGGGGATGGGGATCACGATGGGGTTCCTGATGATGGCAATGACAAGGACGAGGATGCTGTCAATGAAGATGAGGACGATGAAGGTAAGGACGCTGAGCATGTTGTTGCAGATGATGACCACGCTGATGGAGATGACCATGAGGACGGGGATGAGGATGGCGAAGGGGGTGAGGAGGAGGATGAGGATGGGCATGAGGAGGATGGTGACGGCGATGATGATGATGCTGGTGGAGATGAGGACGAGGAAGAAGATGATCGCGATGGCGACGACGCTGACGATGAGGATAACCACGGTCGTGCTGATGCTGATGGGAATGGTGATCAGGATGGTGATGATGATAATGGTGGTGGCGGTGGCGATGTTGATAGCGATGGTGATCATTATGGTGATGATGGTGATGTGATGGGATGAGTCGCTTCTATTCTGCGTGCCAGAGGATGTCTTTGCTGCAGGGGGCAGGGGCGCGGGGCCCGACGACCGACGGGCATGCAAGAGACAACCTGCAGCGGCCGCACCAAATCGAAACTGCATGTAGAACAAGGCGAGACCGGGAGGGAAAGGCGGCAAGCTTGAGCCGCAGCGGTCGCGGCACTCGTCATTCCAAAAGTCAAAACACACAGCGTGCAGTTATACGATCAGCTTCCATTATGCGTGCCAGAGGCCGTCTTTGCTGCAGGGGGCAAGGGCGCGGGCCACGGCGACCGACGGGCATGCGAGAGACAACTTGCAGGGGCCAAACCAAATCGAGATTACATGCGCCAGGCATACTTGCAACCCCTGGCCGCCGGGCCGCAGAAAACATACACGCGCGCTAGTGTTCGCTGGGCGAGGCGACTGACGCGAGCGCCCTTGAAATTTTTCAATCGCCGCGACCATCCAGTCGGAACCCCAGCGGGCGAAATCCCGGGATAATCTATCGGGGGAAAAATCCACGGCGCGCCGCGCGGGTCCAGAGAGGTTAAGCAAGCGCGAAACCGACGAGGGCCCGAACGCCTGTGGAGAGAGCAGAGCAGGCGGGTCGAATGCCCAGCGGATGCGATGATAACGCCCAAGACCAAATCTTCGTAGGCCGAGGGTGCGCACTACCATACTGGCACATATTTACTCCCGCCGCTTGCGTAGCATTGGACATCGCGTACATGAAAGAGGCCAGGCTTAGCATAGGTTACGCGGCGCAGCCATCAGCAACGGGGGCAATGCGCCGCAGAGAGTCCGAGAGCGAGCGGGGGGGGGGCCGGCGCCCGAGGCAAGGGGGGGCCCAAACGCCCAAGACAACCAGCCACGAAGCCACCCCAAGATCCTCTGGCGCACAGCGGGTCGAGACCAATCGAACCCCACATGCTGCAAACCTAGCGCGCGCAAGCGCGTCGCGATAGGGCGAGTGGACCTTCCGAGCCCCAGGAGCGCGCAGCGAGATCTGACTGAGGCGGCCTTCAATGAAATTTGCCGCTGAAGCGTCAGAACGCAGTCCAACTGCCCGCCAACGCGGGCCTCGCTCGCCCGCGCAATGTCGAAGGAGGCTGCCGCGGGATCTGCAGGGGGGGCGCGCCGACGCGACTGACCGCCTCGAAAAGAGGTGCGAGGTGTCGGTCCACCTGAAGTCCGAAAGACAGCGCCGCCGCTCCCAGCAGGTCCACCCATTGCTGCAGCTTCGCCCGCTTGGCATGTCTGCGGGGAGAGCAGTGCGTGATCCACATTCCACGATCCTTGACCTCATCTAAGGTCCCGCGCGCCCCGAGCAGGCCGTCGCTCGCCGCGCTGTGGCGGAGGGCGCACAGCGACGGCCGCGTGGCCCGAGGGCCTCGGCGGCGCGGTCGAAAGCGCCCCGCGCTGCTGTCACCTGGGAGTCCCACAAAGGCGAGGCGCCAGGGCGAGCCGCCTTCAGCGCCGCCCACAGCGGCCACCAAACCGCCTGGCCCAGCGCGACGCTCTCGTCGGTGATCCCCGTCTTGCTTGGCCCGCCGTCCTCCCCAGGCTTGAGCGCCAGACCCCGCTCGGCGCACTCCTCGCCGGCTAAAGAGTTGGGCGGCGCCAGCGAGCGCCCGCGCAGACGGAAGACCTCCGAGGGCCGCAGGTAGCCGGCGAAAGACAGGTTCGCGAACATCGCGAACGGGATGTGGCGCCTCGCGATCATCACGCCCACGATCACCAACGCTGCATGCCGGGGGATCGGAAGGCGCATGCAGGGCGGCTTCAGCTTCTTCCAGCCGCCCTTTGCCTTGCATGCCCTCGGTGGAGCAGCGCGGGCGGCGCCCGGCGCAAGCGGCAAATGGCGCACCGCCGCCAGCGTCGCGCGGCCCGTGGCCTTGTCGAAGCCGACTGAGGCCAGGTGCGCAAGGAAGGCCATCAAGATAACGTCGAGCTACTGGGTCGAAGACCAGTGCAGCCCAATCCGCAGGCGCCGGTTCGTCAGGCGCTGCGCGTGGGCGGCGCAATGCTTGGCGGTCGAGTCGGCGAGCGCCGCCGCCCCGAGGAAGCCGAGGCAACTGCCCCTCGGCTGCGACGCGGAGGTCGGGCGGACCTGCCTCTGGCGCGCCAGTGTCGTGGCGCGCCGGGGCCGCGCTCGACGCGCGACCACCTGGCGCTCCGCCTGGGGTCGAGCCAGCGCCCTGCCACTCGGGCCCCGTGCAGCAGCCGCTCCGCGACGGGGCATCGGGCGGGTTGAACTCCGAAGGCGCCCGCCTCGCGCGCGCGCGGCAGCGCGAGGCCAACGCGACAGCAGAGGCGCGAACTTCCGCAAGGGCCGCGCTAGGTCCGCGCCCCCCCCCGCGCCCTGCGCCCGCCCTGAGAGCTAGAGCCACGTTGTCGGCGAACAAAACGAGAGAGTGACCCAGAAGAGGCCCAGAGCGGAGAAGATGACGTAGTGCGAATTCCAAGGCACCCCCCTCGGACTCCAAGATATACCGAATCTTGAACACGCGACCCGAATGCACCGCCTTCCGCCGGGGGGCCTCCAGCAACTGTTTGGGGGCCTCGGAGAAGGAGGGGAGGTCGCGCGCGACGGACAGGAAGCTCTCGAAGCCGGGAACAGCTTCAGCGCTGGGAGCCCCCCGCAGGCTTCGCGACCCCCAAAGAGCTTCTTGCCCAGGTCCAAGAGGGCGCCTTTCAGCGCCAAGACGACCCGCATCATGCCCGAGACGATCGCCTCCTAGCGCGCGCTGGCGGGCAGCGATAGCATCGTGGCATTTACGCATCGTCTTCTCGGCAGGGCGCCCGATGTCGGCGACCGCGTGCACGGGCAGCTCGCGGCGGCAGACCCCGATCCCATAACAAGTAAAGTCCGAAGAAGCGACGTCACAGGCCCGCGGGGGGCGCCGCGAGGAGGCCCCCAGCGGCAACGACGACTGAACCCAGCGGAGCTCCTTGAGGACGCCGCCCCACAACTTCACGGGCTCGGCGGATCGCGATCTCGCGAAAGCAAAGGCGGCAAAAAAAACATCGACAGGGTCTCGCGCCTGCGCGACATAGCCCACGTGATGTGGCCGATCTGACCGCGGCGAATCACAGAGCGGGCGCCCAATCTGAGACGAGCGACGCGAGAGCGCGGGGCACTAAGGCTTCTTGTTCCACCATCGAACTCGAGACCCGCAAGGATCATGGAAGCGCGCGCCTCCCGAAGCTCGCGCGCGGGCAACCGAGGTGAGGCGACAGCCGCTGAGATGCGCTGCAGCTTCGAGTTCGCGAGCTCCCTCGAGCTCATTCCACGCAGGCGGCCGCCGCCCAGGACGAGGACGGGGCCGCATCTACGATGGGGCGATCGGCCTCTGCGCAAGCGCCCCTGACAAAAATGGAGCGCCCTGACAAAAATGGAGCGCCCTGTTCGAGCCCATCGGCGTCGCTGCAACCCCGGGGACCAGGTCCGCGTCGAGCGCAACCCCGTCGCGGCGCAGCGCCCGATTCGCGATGCACGGGAGCGCAAAGCACTGAACTAAGTCCGATGGAAGTTCATGCGGGAAAACGCACACTGAATATCTGCCGACGCCATATTGCCTATGGCGTCGGGGGCGACCTCCACGCCAGACCGTGCAACACTCGTCGGCAGCTTCGCGCTGGCTGGTTCGGAGATGGATAAATTGGCAATGCGGGTGTCGAACACCATCCTGAGGCCCCCGTCAATCTTGGCCACGAAGAACACCCCGACCGCGGGCTGCCCCCGACCTCGGCGGACACGGAACCGCGGCGCGCCCGCCTCATCAAGTCGACGAAGAACGTCGACGTAACGGTCGGGGCAGCTCAAGAGAAGGGGGTCGACGTGAGGCTTGAGCCCAGACTCTCGGAGTCTAGCGACGGCGGTCGACTCGGAGACTAGCACTCCCGTCCTCCATGGCCCCAGCCTGTCAAGGGCGGCCTCGCTGCATATGTATTCCAGCGAGGCCAGGGGGCGCGGCCCTTGGCGCAAGGTCGAACTGTGGTATTATCTGCAATGCCCAGGTGCATCGCGGAGCAGCTCTGAGAGGGCGGCATCCGAGGTGGCGCTGCTAACTCTAAGGTCGACAGGCCAATCGAAATTATTGAAATTATCGGCAATGTGACCGGGAGCGAGCCTCTGAGGCAGGATGCATGCGTGAACAGGCGCCGCCGCCTCGCGAGCAGATCGGGCCCGGCTGTTCGTCTCGCCGAGGGGGTCCATGCACTCGTTGGCCCAGGCCCGCCAATCAAGACCACGATCGCAAAGCTGTCGACCACGCCGAGACCGAAGAGGCTCTGGCCTGTCGTCAACAGCAAGCCGGGGAAGAGAACAAAGGTTGCGTTACCGATCACCAGGGGCAGCCGACGTCGCGAAGCTGTGCAGCTCGGGGCCCAAGCGCACCTCAGCGGACTCATGGGCGAGCGGACCGCCGCTGAGGCGAGGGATGCCGATCGCTATGGGCGCAACGCCCGCCCCTCGCGGGCCTTCCTGCAATCCTTGGCGACCGCAGCCCCCGTCTTCAACTCGTGCGCGATCCATGTGCTCAGCAGCGGGCACGCGCGCGCGATCCCGCGGCTCTCCTGGGCGCCCAGGAACAGGATGTTCTCGGCGCGGTCGTCCAGCACGTGGGACTTGTGCTTGTCATTCTTGTCGCTGCCCTTCGGTTTGAAGGCCGTCTCGACCGCCTGCTCTTCCAGCAGCTGGAGGCGCTGCGCCGTCGTCTCCAGGTGCGCCAGCTCACAGACGCTCACCTGGTCGTAGCACGCCGCGAACCCCAGGATCCGACAGAGCAAGGCGTGCTCCCTGGTGATCGGATCGTCCCCCGACATCTTCCACTCAGTCATCCACTTAGTGTGCCAGGCTGCTGGGGACGAAGCGTGGCGCTGGCTGCGAGCGCGGACCCAGGCCGCCGTCCGAGGGCCTCGAACGGGCCAGTCGGTTCACGCCGTCGAAGTGTGCAGCATAATGCCCTCGCGGGAATCCCGCCAGCGGTCGCCCCGCAGGTCGTAGCTCACGGCGCTCGCACGCAGGTCAGCGGCCCCACCAGCAACAGCAGCCCCACCAGCAGCAACGCCAGCCCCAACGGCGACGCCCGCGGCGCCCGCCGCAGCCGGCAAGGGCTGGGGGCCCGCAGGTGCGCCAGCCGCGGCCAAGGCAGGTACCCGTCCAGGCGGAGGGCCCAACGCGGCGGGCGGCGCCGCGGCAGCAGCAGGAGCGGCCCCCGCCAAGGCGGCCACCAAACCTGGAAGAGCGACACCAGGCGCGGCCGCGGGCGGCAGCAGGCCAGCGGCGGGCGCGGGGGCTGCGGGCAGCGCCAAGGGCCCAACAGCAAGCGCCGCCGCCACCGCAGGGGCCCCAGGATCGGCCAGCGCGAGCGGCACAGAGGCGAGACCCCCAGCGCATCAAGCAGCTAAGGGGAGGCTCGCGGGGCCAAGCGGCACGGCGACGCCAAGCGCTGCGGCCCCCTCGCGAATGCCGTCCCGCACCCCCTGATCCGTCGGCAGGGAGCGGAAGCCGTAGACCCGAAGACCGCCAGGGCGGTCGCCCTGGCTTTGCAAAGAATCACCCCAACGATATCTGCATCAAGCACCTCGCTCTCGTGGTAGCGGTCCCAGTCGGGTGTCAGCACGAAGTGATTGCCAGCACCATCTGCCAGCAGCGAATCCCGCTCAAATCTGGGCTCCGCCGACCCAGTATCGCACCAGCGACAAGGTAAGCGCATGCGGCATGGCTACCTGCCGTCAGCGAGCTTATCGCGGATCGCCCTGGCCTGCACCCGCGCGGTCTCGTCGAAACTCGGCTCGGATTCGACAGCCTGGCCCACGACTGCGCTGCGATGGACCAGCACGTACCCCAAGGCGGTGCCGAGCGCAGCGCCCGCGAGGAGGCTCGCGACCGAGCAGCCGCCCACGAGCCCGAAGCAGGAGGGCTCGGGCACCTGGCCGCCTGCGCCCGCGCAGACGCACGCGGGGATGGCGGGGCAGGTCAACTGCGGCGCGCAGACCCCGCGGCTGGGCGCCGCCGCGCGCGCCACCACGGAGGCTCCGAAGGCCTGAGCTCCGCATCGCAGAGTGTCGGAAAGGTAGAGGCCCAGAACCCGCATGGAGCCGCACAACTGAAGCAGGAGCCGTAGTGGTTGCGGCACTCGACATTCCAAATATCAGAACACTTAGCATGCAGTTATATGATGATGCTGGCGGTGGTGGTGATGATGATGATGATGATGGTGATACTGATGATGATGATGATGATGATGATGATGACGATGATGATGGTGGTGATGATGATGCTGATGATGATGCTGATGATGAGGAGGAAGAGGAATGAAGGACTGGAAGAAGAAGAGGAGGACGAGGGGAGGGAGAGGGTGAGGCCAGGGATGAGGAGGATGAGGCGAGAATGATGCCATGATGCGATCGGCTCGGTGTACCTCCCAGAAGCTCCAGACTGTCTGGCGGCCCTCGTTCTTGGAGCTCTGGAGCCCTCGCCGAGCACCTGGAGGACCTGGAAATCTTGGAGCGTAGGTAGCACTGAGGTGAGGGGCAACATCAGGGGTAGGAGTAGGAGTAGGAACCAGTGGCGGAGCCAGTCAATAATAAAATTTGGGCTTAAACCTCAGGGCACAGAGAAACCTTCCGCTGCCGCCGTTCTTGGTCGGCCTTGCTTAGGGCTTTGGGCGCGAGCCCGTCTCTAATGTGATCAAGGTAAACCCTACCCGTGGGAGTTATATCCGTGCAAACCTTCCCGAGGGACCGAAGCTGCTGGTCCGAGAAAGCTCCACATCGGCCACAGAACCAAATTTTGAGCGCAGTATGGTAATTAAGGAGATGGGAGGGGTGTAGCCAGCCCCCCGCGACGTGAATACGACCCCCTACAGCTGGAGACATAAGCGTGCCATTCACATTTACAAGTGGGGGGCACACTGAGTTCCAGAATTCAGCAGTCGTGGCTTTTGTAGCCGAACCGAAACACTTCGAACACTTCTGTTTGCACTCCGAGAGCCTGTGAGCCGAGAGGAGCGGGGCGAGAGCAGCAGCAGCGGGGGGGCGGGGAAGGGGAGGAGGGGGAGGCGGGACCCCCTCTCTTTTCCTGTCCCGCGCTTCCAAGGCCACGGTTTTCTCAGCAACAAAACAATCGAGGGTAGCTTTGAGCAACCTCGTTCGGACCAAAAGAGCCCGCCTTTCGTGAATCTGAATTTGCTGTCGGACCGATTCGGGGATCCTGCACGCCAATGCTGCCGCACCAGCTATTTCATCTACAACAGTATTGGCTAGCACGAGACTGCTGGTCGCCCGCCCTGCACATATATCCTCCTCGTCTTGGTGACTGGGAGTGAAGAGCACAGAAACACAGTGATGGGGGCGGTGGAGCATCAGCTGTCTAATGATAGCCCACAGATCGGCGTCAGGTCCCTTCGGTGATCTGTACGCGCATTCGTACCAACTGTTGGCCAGGGGTTCAAAATCAGTTATATACACTAGATGGTCGAGGGTCGTTTTAAGAGCTAGCATAAAAGCACACAGCTCGCCTCTGGCAACCGCCTGTCTTGGCCCCCAAAGCGGGCCAGAGATGGAAGATTCAACCACGAGCGGGTGGAGAGAGGCGAACTTTCCAATAGCAACACCAACGCGTCGGAGCCTGGGTGATTTCGAGTCGGGACCGCCAGAGGCGTCTCCCGCGACGATTACTGGACGCTCGCGAGACCCGACCCCGAGGCACCCGACTTCAACCTCGTTAACGCCCGTCGCAGACCAGGCAGGGACAGAGACAGGAGGAGGGACTCTGGTCCAGTCCCTAGGGATGAGGCCTCGAGCCCAAAACCCTTCTTCACTATCAAACTGCGCTAAAGCCTGGGGCACGAGGTGCTCAGAGGAGGCGAAAGCCTGCGAATTTTTATTCTCACTGCATTCCCAGTACCTGTGCTTCGCCGTCTCAGGTGCTGCACGGCATCGGTCACAGATGTTGTCGCCCGCGTAGGCCCTGATGAGACTAGCCTTCCTGTCCTTGGTCCAGCAGCCCGCTGTGGACACCATCACCATGGTCTCCGGGGTGGGGCTGTCGGTCCCCTCTCGGTGATCACTGGGCGATTGGGGGTCGATGCATCCACCCCTGAGCCTGTCCCTACCCATCGTTGCCCCCTGCCATTTGGAACACAACTCGGCTCTCAGGCGGCCGTTCGGGACGATCGGGACACCTGGCAACCACTGAACGCTCTTGGCGAGGCGCAACCGCTGAACAGCACCCCGAGGCTGGACGAAGGAAACGGTGAGAGCCGACGAACACGCCCGCAACCCTCGAAACCTTGAGCCCGAATGCCAGCCTGAGGAGGGAGGGAGACTGACGACGACGACGCCGACGCCACCGACGTCGACGCCAACAGCGACGCCGCCGCCGCCGACGTCGCCGCCGCCGACGACGACGACGAGCGCCCCGCGTGCGCAGAGGAGCCGAGACCTCGGCTGCGAGCCGCCCTGCCAGGGCGACGGCCACCGCCAGGGGCCCCAGCAGCGCGGCCGCCAGGGCGGCCGCCAGCAGCCACTCCGAGGGGGCCGAGCGGTCCTCACCGGCGGCGGTGGTGCGTTTTCAGTCCCAGCAGTGCCTGCACTCAGGGGTGAAAGTGAAACGAGGGCTCCTAACTTCGCGTTTCGCGCTGCGCGAAGCGCGAACAACTTCGCGCTCTCGTGCCGCCCCCAAAGGGGAGACGAGGAGGACGAGGAGGAGGGGGAGGAGGAATGAGGCCCGCGAAGCGCGACTAACTTCGCGCCCTCGTGGGAGCCCTTGTGAAAGGAGCGATGATCAAACACGGGTCTTGCGCGAGATGGCACAGCGACCCTACGCGGCGGCCAGCGCGGGCCGCCAGGGCGGCACGCTGCACCAGAAGCGAGGGCGCTCATGCGCGACCTTCCGCGGGCAGCTGGCGCGCCAGTGTCGGCGAAGCCGAATCCGTATTGCTTGCGCCCCTCACGTGGGGCGGAAAACTGCCCAAACACTGGATACGCTAGGCTGCACGCTGCTAACACACCATGCTGAATGTGCCTCGCTCGCTCACATCACCGCGGTGCGGACACACCGGGCGGCAGACTCACTCGGCGAGTCATTCATAGCCCATCCAGACCACTCTTGCGCTCAGGGGTTCTTACTTCTGTTACTAAGGAACTGAAATGGGCATGCTGAGGATTCGCCACATTGCCCCCCGTCGCCGCCTGCGGGATATGCCGAGGATTCGCCACGTTGCCGCCCACTGCCGCCTCGTTGCTGCGTCGTTGCCGCCTCGTGCGCTGTTGCCGCCTGTTGCCGCCTGTGGGGGTATGCCGAGAATTCGCCACGTTGCCGCCCATTGCTGCCGCGTTGCTTCGAGGTTGCCGCCTCGTTGCCGCCCGTTGGGACATGCAAGGGATTCGCTACGTTGCCGCCCGTTGCCGCCTCGTTGCTTTACCATCCTTTGTCCTGGTCGCGTGGCCTGTGGCCTAGCTCACACCACACATGGCTTACTCTTCGAAAGTGTAATAACTCACTGTTCGCACTCCATGCTGGCAAACATGTATTGTTTGTTTGTGACCTAGGGGGGATAATCGAGCTGGAATCGGCGATACATCGCCGACGCATCGGCGATACACCCCCGATTGCGAATCCGCACGCTCCTGGGCGGTGGGCTATATAGGGTCCCCCGTCGGCGATGAATTAGCGATTGGGGGTCGATGCATCCCCCCTGAATCTATCCCCTCCTGACGTTGCCCTTGGATCGGTCATCGGTTTGTGTTCGTCGCTTTTTTTCCATCACGGGGCAAGCTTGGAGATTAGTATGGTATTCGTCGCCATCGGGGTCCGGAGGTCGTTCTCGGGCCCCAGCGGCGTCAAACATCGATCTGGGGGGGGCAGAACTGGCACGGGTGGGCCCCCGGGGAGGGTCCAGGGACTGACTTCGAGCGGATGGCATCGCACATCTACATATCTATGCCCTCGGGGTCTGAATACCGAGGCGCGGTCCCATGGATCCAATGGCTCCGCCATCGTGCCTCTGGGCACAGAGTTGGCGTGTCCTCAGGTCCTTTGTCTAATCCTTTAAGCCTCAGTCCTTACTCCTGAGGGGTCTCTCATGGGCCTGGACCCCGAACTGCCGAACCTCTCGGGGCTTGTCGCGTGCCACCTGGGGTTCCTCGCGTCTTCCCGCATGACTTTTCTGGGTCCAAGAGGGGCCCAAGACGGGCTCAGAGGGCCCAAGAGGCCGCCAAGACGGTCCACGATGGCCCCGAGTCCCCGAACGATCTCCTCTAGACGCCCAAGATGGCCCCAAGACGGGAAAGAGGCCGCCAAGACGCCCCAAGAGGCTTTCAAGACACCTTACAAGATGGTGCCGAGAGGCCACCATCATTTGTGTTCTCAGGTTTTGTTGGATCTTGGCGCTCTCGCCTTTTCGGCTTCCAGACGCTCCAAGACCGCCCATGAAGCCTCCAAGATCGCCCCAAGACGGCCCCCAAGAGGGCCCCAAGATTGCCCAAGAGGGCCCCAAGACGGCCCAAGAGTCGCCCAAGACGGCCCAAAAACGGCTCCAAGATGGGGAACCCGAACGGATATTTTGAACTCTCGGCCCCGAGAGACCCCCAGGATGCCCCAGGAGGCCCCAAGAGGCCCCAAGAGGCCCCCAAGAGGCCCCCAAGAGGTTCCCAAGAGGCCCAAACAACTGCCCCAAAGAGGCCCCCGACGGCGCCCCCAAAAGACTGCAAGAAACTTCTCTGAGAAAACTGACCTACAACCCTGGCACGGTGGCGGGATGGGCCGTTAGATACGTTGCGCGCGGGGCCTCCGCGGAAAATCGCCCTGTACGGGTCGCGGCAGAGTAGAGTGCGGATCGAGAGGCCGTGGGTGGTATGGGTATGATGTTTCCAGCCGCACGAGGTCCAGCATGCGGACGTTGAGGGCGTCCTCCATGGCCTCTGATAGCGTCGCGCCAAGGAAGGGGGGAAGCCGAAGGGGCGGCCTTGCAAGGAGGGGAAAGGGCAGAGGGGGTGGGTGAGTGGGCCGAGGGTGGTGGGAAGAGGGGGCCGAGAGGTCGAGCACGTGCTCCAAGGCCCTTGGCGGCACGAGTGAACCACGACGATGGCGCGATGTCGCAGGCATGATGGAGGCGGGGAGAAAGAAAAATTGCAATCAACATGTGATGGTGAACCTGGCATGAATCAAACCGGTCCCGAGGGAAACGGGTCCCGGACCCTGGGGCCTTCTCCAAGACGGCGCACAATACCACAATTGAGGATCTCAAACCTGTGATGTGAGATAGCTCGTTTCTTCAAGCGCCCTGGGCACCTTCCCCCCAAGACCAACCATCGACTGAAATCAAAAAATACTGATACCGCTACTCCCCGGGCATCAGGGTGCGCTCTGACCAGAATCGGGGCGAATCCAGCGGTGGCGACGAGGGCTTCCGAGAGGGCCCAGAACGGCGAACACCCAAGCAAGGGTAGCAGTATCGGGACCTCTCCTAGTGAGGGCAGACGAGTCAACCTCCTAATAAGCACCCCGGCCAGCGAGGCCTTTTAGTGAACGGACCTAGGGAAGGTATCGACCAGGGCAGGGCTGCTCAGGAAACGCCCAGGGCTGTTTGGGAAACGCCAATTGTGGTGGTCGGGGTGGTTGTTGCTCCCTTGATTTTCCTCCTCTGAGATTCGTCCCCCAAATGCGACGTACGGCAGGTTCGTGTCAGGCCGACTTTGGCGTTGGTTTCTGACATCGCGGGGGTCGTTCAACTTTGAACGATCGGCCGCTTCCGAAACGTCGGGTCGTTCAACATCGACCGATTATCGGTCGCCAGCGGCGTTCAACGTTGAACGCCAGCGGCGGGGCCGCCGCTGGTCGACACGACGCGAGACTGTCGTACAGTCCGACCAAAGCCAGAAGAACACCCTGAAGAACATGAGACCCACCGCCGGCCAAAACACAAAGAACATCCAAGGGTACCCGCCCCAAGATGCACGAGAACACTCCCCATCCAAAGGCACCCTCCCCGAAAAGATCTCGATGTTACACTTCTGTGGGATCTTCTGACCCGGGTCAATCCAGACCCGGGTCAACAAGAAACCAAAAACTGCAATGCAGGAACAAAAGAGCTGCAACGCAGGTCTTCGCAAACCTGGCTCAGCCAATCTGCGCGGCCGCCTCGCGGCCACGAGCGGCTCGCTGACCCGGGTCAGCCAAAGGGGTCGTCGCAGGATCCTGCAGGATCCGGTGCCCTGGCTGACCCCCGTTTGCATTGACCCCCGTTCGCATTGACCCCCGTTTGCATTGACCCCCGTTTGCATTGACCCCCGTCCCAAGGCTCCCGAACTTCTGTCCGACTGTACACCCCAGTGAGGCGTCGCAGGGGACACAGCTCCAGCCACAAGCATGGCGCCCAAGCCCTGGGCCCTGTGCGCCCCCAGAGGCCCCTAGCCAGGGCACGGCCCTCGTGCTGCCCGTGCGGCACACCGAGTCCTCGGCATCGCTCGGGCGTGATTTTGTCCAGTGAATGTTCGGCTTCGCGCGTGCATTTTTTCCGCAAGATGGCCCGAGATGCTCCTCGATGGTCCATGAACACGCCCGAACGATGCCAATAATCATGAACAAGAAGAGCTGCCCTGACCACGGCGCGCTTCGGCCACGAGCAAGCTCCCCGACCGAGATCTGCGAGGTGGCCCGCCCCCCGGCGCGCGGAGCACGCCGGGGACGCTGGAGGCGCCGCCAGGAGTGTCAAACTCCAACCCAAGAGCCCCGCGCGGATACCTGCAACCTCATGTTTGCAACCATCGTGATGCCCATGAGGAGCGCCAAATCAGGAACGATGTGGCTCTCCTGGCCATGGTGAACCTCGGACACGGACCTCTCCCTGGGTGCGCTCTGACCAAAATGTCGAGGCGAATCCGGCCGTGGCGACGAGGGCCTCACAGGAGGCCCACCCGGGCGAAGACGAGGCAAGGGTAGCGGTATCCGTGTTTTGTTGTCCTCTGCCGTCTGACGTTAGGCATCCCCTGATCAACATTATACGGTGGAAGTTGGTTGCTCTCTTCGCGCCCGAAGACTTGCTGGCACGAATTCAACAAGGCCGCCATAGTGGCCCAAACCTGGTGCATAGGGTGGCGCCACCAAAGTCGCACACCAAGACTCCTGAAGGGAGTACTGATCCTGCGAACGACCGTCCACGGGGTGGTCCCAGCGAAGTAGCCACGACGACGATGGATGTAATCGACACCGTAAAACGCCTGAACCACCAGATCCGGTAAAGCCACGCGCACTCTCGAGCAGGAACCGACGTCAGAAAGCTGACCAAACCAGGGAAGTCCACGTCTCAGCATCGGGGCGAGTGAGCAAGAGGATGCCGTGGGCATCGCCGCCAGGGACCGTGGGACGGGTCAGCACGGTCGTCCGACAGCCAGGAGAGCACAGGCTGAACCGCGTGCACTCAGGAGCCCCAGGCGCCCCGCGACGGGGTTGAGCCGCTGGAGCTGGGGGGGCCGGAGGCCAGAGCTGACGGAGTCGCTGCGACGCCCAGCCGCCTGAGCGGGGGGGGGACCAGGAGGGAGCGGGGCAGGGCAACCAGCCGCGGGGAGCGAGCCGCCCCAGCAAGGCGGTTACCTGTGGGCGCGGGGAGAGGAGCGCGCCGACTGTGGTGAAAACATCTGCAGCAGGGCCAGGGGCCTACTAAGACAGGTGGACCACGGCCCCAGCGGCAGTCCACGTGCCGGTATTGTCAGCAGGCTGCTGCCAGGAACCCAAGGGCGGGGGGCAGCGGGAGCTGGGCAGAAAGCGCTACCAAGGAGTGGCTGAAGGCCACTGGTTTGCCGATTACAGAGGGAACACCACCAATGGCGGGAGAGCATGTCGCCTCGCCCGTCGCCGCAGTGAACGACCCCCGCGAGTCTTCTGTCAGCTGCTGGGCCCGTCCTCTGGGCAGGGGAGGCGGGACGCCCCCATTGTTCTTGGTCGTTGGCAATTGTCTAAAATTTGATATTTTGAATTTATCGTCGGCCTCCTTTCCTTCGTCGGCCTTTTTGGTCGCCAGCACTTTTTTGTCGTCGAGTTCGTCGAATTTGTTTTGCTATTCTGACATGTTATGCTTGGTGTCCTTAACGGTCGGAATCAGAATTTTACTCAGGCTCTTCAGCATGGTTGGGGTCCTTCGCGGCCTGATCCATCTTCCATACCTTTCACGTTTACTGCGCCCCCATCACCCCGTCCAGATGCCCAGGGGGTGCTCATGGAAGTTCGGTTCTTGGCCCTCGCCCACCCCTTGAGGCACCGCGCACAACCGCCGGGGGGGCTCAAGATTAACAACGTTTGAGACGCGTGACGGGCGCTGGTTCAATCATACTGAAACATATGAAAATGACAAAACGCACTTTGGCCGCTCGTCGCTATGTGATCCCATGGGAATGAGGGAAATGAGGTCTGCGACGCGATCCGAACCGGTCGAACATAACCATCCTCGGACGAGACTGGGCGCGCGCCGAACCGAACCGAACCGCGGGTTTCATGTGTTCGCAACCGTCCTCTCTGCACCAATTTCGATCGCACCGACGTGCGGGCGAACGAGTCCTACGGGACAGACATAGCCCCTTGAGAGGTGTCCCGTTTCACGCAGCCCTTGGAATATCGCGGGGTGTAGTATGGCGACGTCGCTCATCGACCGCTTGGTCGGCGCCACGAGGAGGAGGAGGAGGAGGAGGAAGAGGAGGAGGAGGAGGAGGAGAAGGAGGAGGAGGAGGAGGAGGAGGAGGAGGAGGGGGAGGGGGAGAAGTGATGAGGAGCGAGAAGAAGGGAGAGGAGGAGGGAGGGGGGAGGAGGAGCGAGGGGAAGGGAGAGGAGGAGCGTGGAGGGGAGATGGAGGAAGAGGGGGAGAAGTTGAGGAGGAGCCATAGATGTGGCCAGAATGCGCGTGTGCCGGGGGGGCGCTCTCATACGCTGTCAGTCTGCGGGTCACTGGTGTCGAGGACCCTCGCGGTCGAAGGGCCCGCCCTCCCCCTGCGCTGCGCCCTCAGGCCCGCCCCTAGGCCTGCTGCACGGGCGGGCCGCCGGACTTCTGCTGTTCGTGGAACCTGTGGATGAGCTGCAACTCCTGCGGCGGCGGGGCGGCGAACGAGGGGGGGGCGGGGGAAGCGAGGAGGAGAAGGCCCTCTCGGAAGGCGGCGGGACTTCTCAGAAGCCCCACGGCCTCCTGAGCGGTTCTCTGTGCCTTTCGGGGGAGGCTCAGAGCACTCTCAGAGGGCCACGGGACTTCCGAGCCTTCTGCGAAGGCCTTCTCCTTCTCACTTCCCCCCGGACTCGCCGCCGAGACATGATCATCGGTCGGCAGACGTGGGTACAGACATGAGCGACGAGAAGAAACGGGCCTTACCCAAGAAGCCTTAGCGCATAGCGACCCTCCGCCGCGGCTCACGCGGGCCAGCAGCGTGTCACACCGCGAAGGAAAGGGGGCGCTTACGCGCGACCTTAATTACGCAGGCAGCTTGCGCGGATAACTTACGCGCCACTGACCGTGCAGACGACCCTGATTTTCTGCGTCGCCAAAAGGAGAAGGGAAAATCGCTCGACGATGAAGGCAGGAAGGCACCTAGAACGTGTTGGAATCTGAGCATTCGAAATCAACGACCGAAAACAACTCGCTCTGCGGACCTCAGTCTTAGCCAGGCGCACGCACAACATGTCGACCAGTCAACCCTGGCGATGCGCCGAGACGCGGTTCTGATCAAGCATGACCCATGCCCCCGCTTTGAATATTTCTGGCCAGGCTTGGTAAGGCTTTTACGTTGTGCACAGACGGCCCCCCCCCCCAGTACGCCCTGGCTGGCCTCATCAGGCCTCCCGAGTAGACCCAGCTGGCCTCAACAGGCCCATCGAATAGTCCAGGCGGTCTCCACACCCAGGGGCGCCGCCGGACGCGGCTCTCGGGTGTTGAGACCGCCCCGGACTACATGGGAAGCCTGTTGAGGCCCGCTGGGACTACTCGGGGGGCATGTTGAGGCCAGCCAGGGCTGCCTGGGGGGGGGGCTGTCTGCGCGCAACCCGACGCCTTACCAACCCGAGCTTCCGCTTTGAATATTTCTGGCCAGGCTGCTGGATCTTTGCCCAGCCATCCTCGTCCAAGCTCATCGAGCTCCGAGCCGCGAACGATCGCGGGTCCGCGCCTGTGCCGTCGGGGCCCCAGCGGGTCTCCAAGTGAGCGCGAATCTCCTCGACCTCTGGCGCGTCCAGCGGCAGGTACTTTCCAGCCTCCATGGGGCACGACACAAAGAACGAACGAACGAAACTGCCGTCGCGGGGAAGCCGGCGTCCAAGGCCACTAGTTGCGTGATTGCCCAAAATCGATTGCAACATGAAACGACCCAAAACGTTTGATGGGGCACGACCTAACCTCTCACCAAAGTTTAACTCTGGCATCCGCACCGACGTCAGCACCATCACTGGCAACGACACCAACACAGGGACACGCACCACAAGTTCCACCACGTCATCACAATCGAGTGCTACCACCATCATCACCATCACTTGCACCATGGCCGTCCGTCCCTTCTGACCCAACCCCCAAACGGTGCTGCGGCCTTCGTCTAGGCCTCCAACCTCCCCGCCGATACTTCCCGTGCCTCCTCAACCCTCGATCCTCCTCAGACCTCGTCCCGCCTCCTCGATTTTCAAGCCCTGTTCCCAGCCTGCCCGCGCCAAGGGTGACTTGGGCCCTGGGCAACTTCGCGACGGCCACGGAGGGGCCAGAAGCGGGGGCTCCAGAGGCCGGAGTCAGGGAAGAAAACCCTAGACCGAGAATCGATGAGAGGTCTCGCCCGCTGCCCGCGCATCGCGTTCTGGCCCAGGCCGCGACGCGCGATGCGCGATTAGCTCTTCGCGCCCTTAGAGGTGTCCTGGACTATTCCAATACGAAATTGCGACCTCAAGCTGACCTCAAGATGTGCCACGGCGTCAAGACGGTGCCAAGATGACCTCAGCATGACCCCATGACCACAAGTCGATCCCAAGATGACTGCCTCAAGACCCCAGTGGCCTACGGCGGTCATCGTTCTATCATGAAGAACGCTCAACAAGGAACGAAGGGGCTTTCCTGGCCACGGCAAGCCTCGGCCACGGACAGGCCTCCCGACCTAGACCTGAGGCCTCCTGAGCCCAAAGTGGCCCTCAGTTCGGCGTCTTGGCTGCACCGATGGCCCGCGCGCCCCTGGGCGGGGTGGGCCACCGGGCCCCCATTGGCAATCCATGGGGCGATTGGGGGTCGATGGGCTGCGTGCGACGGACGACCTTCGCGCCCCTTCGGGCTGCACGCGAGCACCGTCCTGCCATAGCCAGCTGCACGCAGGAGCGGCCCCGGGCAGGAGTGGCCCTTTGCTGCGCAGCCTCAGGAGGCCGCGGCGAGGCCGAAGCCCGTCGCGCAGACCCCATGCCGGGGGGACCCCCCGTGGGCCCGCACGGAAGGTCACCCTGGCGAAGGGTCGCTCTCACGCGTAGCCGACACCAGGCACGCTGCACGAGGAGCGAAATCGCTCTCCTGGCCACGGCGAGCCTCGCCGCCGCCCACGGACAGGCTCCTCGACCTGGACCCAAAGAGCGGCCAGAAAACCGCAGCCCCTCCCATGCCCGAAGAGGTCCCCAGTTCAGCGTCTTTCGGCGGCGAGCGCGGGGGGGGGGAAGTGAGAAGTGGCGCGTCTTCTCAGAAGGCCCGGAGTCCCCCGGCCTTCTGAGAAGTGTTGTGGGCCTTCCCCGAAGACACAGAAAACCTCTCAGGAGGCGCGAGGGCTTCTGAAAGCCCCCCCCGCCTTCTGAGAGGGCCTCCTCCTTCTCACTTCCCCCCCTCGCTCGCCGACGAGATGCGGCGTGGCTGGACGCTTCGATGTGACGCGGCCTTTGTCCAGGCCGTGGGCGACACGGCCGGGTCCACCACCGCCGGGGCGCCCGGCGCCGCGGGCCCGCGGCACTTGTGGGGGAAGGCGCGGTGCAGCCAGCGGCCCAGGCGGCGCCCGTGCACCTCGACGAGGCCGTCCGCTGACCTTGCCGCGAGGGCCCGGCGCACGCTGTCCAGACATGCTCGCGTAGCGCAACGTTCACGACGGAAGGCTTCGGCCCGTTTTCGGTCTCCGAGGGCCCTCGCCTGGCCCCTGGGCCGTCAGCGAACGACGCGCGACGGAAAACCAGCGAAGGGGACGGGACTTCCCGGCACTCCGTATTCAAAAAAACAATGCGTCGTGTGTCGGGGTGCAGGCATCGTGCTACCAAACAGGACAGGGCAGGACGCCCAATGCGTGCCGTGCGCGCGCGGCATCGTGCCACCAGAGCGAACGCTAAGTCAGAAACGATAGGGATCTCTGGCCACGGAGAGCCTCATGTACGACCGGGATCCCCGACCCCGATCTGAGGAGCGGCCCGAAGACTGAGCCCCAGTGGTCCTTCTTCCAGCGTCTTGACTGTAAAATGGGTCACTGATCAATGGATCTGGCGAGTGGGCGCCAGATCCACGGAACCAGGCCTCCCCCGACCTCCGCTGAGGGGAGACGAGAAAGGGGAACGGCTCAGGAGGGGGAACATCGGCTCGCGCCCTCCCTCGTCGCGCGGATGGCGGATCTCGGCGGGGCTTGGGCGATGCGATCGGGCGCGGCGGCGGAAGTCAAGCAGGTTTTGAACCTTGCGGCCACAGGTCGCGCAGTGGAGCTCCACTTCTTGTGGGGTCTGTAAGCCGCGCGCCCAGCGGCTGAAACCTTCGCCGCGCGATACGTCGCCGATAGATCGGCGACCAGCCCCAGACCGCGAGTCCGAGCGCTCCTGGGCGGGGCAGGCCATCGGGCCCGCATCGGCGATGAGTCCGCGATTGCTGTCCGCGGGGACCAGGCGCACACTTACGTGGCTTTGAGATCCGTGGATCTGGCGCGTGGGCGCCAGATCCACGGATCGGGAAGAGCGCCCCTCCGAAACATGGCGCCGGTGTCTGAGATGAGAGGCCAGGTGCGGGGCAAGGGCCGAGACACGCGGGGGCTGTGAAAAAAACACAGCGTCGGAGGTCTGCACCCGAAAAGGTTTGTAGTTGTTGTGATGTTGTGATGTTTCGTGTTATGTTGCTGGTTGCTCGTTGCATTGTGTTGTTGGCTCGTTGGTGATTTGCAGGGGGGTTGTGGTGTTGTGATTTGTTGGGTGTTGTTTGCTGTTTCTTTCTTTTTGTTATCCCGGCGTGTTTCCCTCCTTCCTCCCCCCCCCCCTTCCCTTTCTCCCTTTTCTCCTCTCCCCCTTTCCCAACTTCCTCCTGTCCCCCTCGCCCCTCCCCCTCTCCCCCTCCACAATAAAACAATATGAATACTACTCTCCCTCCTCCCCTGAAGTTGTCAGGAAAATCTTCCGCCCCCTCCGCGTGCTGTTCTCTTACGCACAAGATGAAATCAATTGATTTTTCTTGTTGGTCTTTACAATATGATTGTCTTCGGTGTTTCAAAATGTGATCCCGCTGCAGCGTGGGCCTCATTTTCGGATCAGCGCTTTGCTCCCGTTCTTCAGAATGGCGCTCTCTCCCAAGCCTGGGCCACGCTTCTAGATTTCAATCCTGTTCCAGTGTGGCTTCCCCATAATTTCCCCTCCTCCGCCTTCCTCTGGTCTTCGTGTTCCTCCCGCTAATTCCATTTCAGCTCCTGTTGCTGGTGTCGTATCTCCCCAGCACGGGCCACATTTCTGGATCCGAATATGTCTTCATCGTTGTCGCCCCCCTCAAATCCCCTCCTCTTCCTTCCCCTGGTCCTCCTTTTCCTCCCGATCCGTCCGCTTTAGCTCATGCTGCTGTCGTCGTCCTCATCCTTTTCTGCCCGCTCATCATCCTGCTCAGCCACCACCTCCTCCTCCTGAGCATGCAGCTCCTCTTTTCCCGATTGCGCATAAGACGAAGTGGTCATTATGTGGGAGCCGCAGATTGGCTATGACACGCGTCTGCCCATAGAAAAACATGATCGCCATGGGAAGGGGTGGAAGAGAGGGATATGATGTCAGATGAGGCGCGAGTGCACGTAGCTTGCCCTCTCCCCATCTCCCCCCCCCTCCTCCTCCGCCTCCTCCTCCTCCTCCTGCTCTTCCGTCTCCTCCTCCTCCTCCTCCTCCTCCTCTCCCCCTCCTCCTCTTCCTCCCCCTCCTCCTCCTCCTCCTCCTCCTTCTCCTCCTCAAGCCTTCCTCCTCCTCCTCCTCCTCCTCCTCCAGCCTTCCTCCTCCTCCTCCTCCTCCAGCCTTCATCCTCCTCCTCCTCCTCCTCCTCCTCCAGCCTCGTCCTCCTCGTCCTTCCTCCTCCTCCTCCTCCTCCTCCTCCTCCTCCTCCTCCTCCTCCTCCTCCTCCTCCTTCTCCTCCTTGCATGAATATAAAACGTGCGGATTGATTTGATCGGCGCTAGACCCCCCTCCCTGGCAGGGGCGGCGCCGGAGGCGCCGCCAGGGGGTTTCAGCGCCGATCCAAAAAATCCAAGCGGAGCTCCGAATCTTCATGTCAATGCCATTGTTTATTCCCCAATCAGTGATTGCACTGAAGGGGTCCTAGCGGAGGTTGAAGGATTTGGCGAAAATTTCCCGCCGATTTGGGTGGCAAGCTGGGTTCCCGGGTTCCCGGTTCTAGGTTCCCGGGTTCCCAGTTCTGGGTTCCGGGCCGATTTCGGTGGGCGGCGGGGTTCCTGGGTTCTTGGCCGATTTTCTAATCGATCGGTCTCACCATCGATCTCATTACCCACCACTCTATCGATCTCAATATCGATCTCACAATCGATCTCTTTATCGATATCACAATCGCTCTCACTAAAGATCGCACGAGAGGTCTAACGATCGATCTCATTGAATCGACTGCACTCTCGGTCTCACGATCGTTCTTACAATCGTCCTCATTCTCGGCTCCACTATCGATCTCACAATTGATCTCAATATCCATATCACTACTGTTCAAACCATCCTCTGATTGGGTTAGCTCTGGTGTAACTATTCGATCGCGCCCCTGCTACTGTGTTCCTGTTTCGTCAAGCGCTGGCGTGCACTTTTCACGACACACATTTGGGAGATGATCGCAGCGCTTACGACGCTTTCGGCACAGCCGCGCGCTTAGATCGGGCAACGATTGGAAGATATCTAGCTAGAACCACGCGCGCTTCGCGCGCGTTTGGGTTCTACGCGGGCGCAAGCACAAGTTGTGCGGTCAACCCATGGGGTTGGAAGCATGCGCAGGAGAATCGAGGGTAAGACTCACCGAGGGTGGGAAACCAGGAGGGATGAGGACGCACAAAACAAAGACAACCTGAGGAACGAGGGGGCGAAACTCATGGGACAATTATTTCTTCTTTGCAGAATTCTGCGCCCCATCAGCCTCGGTCGTAAACCCCGGCCGCGGGGAAGGGCCGTGCGCCCCGGAAGAGTCCCCACGAATTTCAGCTTATTGCCGGGACGCCTACAATATACAATTTCTATATATATATATATGACAACGATGGTGCCTACCATCGTTTGGGTCAACTGTGTCAAGGAAACACAACGCCCTGGATGGCGCTCAAGCGACGTCGAAAACACACCTTCCGACAGGGCAAACGAACGAATGGGTACCGTAGTGGCCACGCGGAAAAAATTAGTGGGCAGCATAATGGCCACACGCAACAATTAGTGGCCACAGAGGGACAACTCGTGGTTAGTGGTCAAGTGAAAGAAAAGCATGTGCGCATCGTTGCAGCAACGATCTGCGAAGGTACGTTGTCACTCTGCGGCGTACGAAAGTGAAAAGCAAGCTTCCCTTCGTCCTCCCTCCTGTTTCCTCATCCACCTCCTCCTCCTCCTCCTCCTCCTCCTCCTCCTCCTCTCCCTCTTCTCCTGCCTCCTGCCTCCCTCCCTCCCTTACACTCTCCTCCTCCTTCTCCTCATCATTCTCCTCCTCCTCCTCGTCCTCCTTCCTCCTCCTCCTGCTCCTCCTTCTACTCCTCCTCCTCACCCGCCTCCTACTCCTCCTCCTTATCATCGTCCTCCTCCTAAGCACCCCCAAACCCGCGATGCACATCACAGAAACCTCGATGCACATCACAATTGCAAACGCCAATGGGAATGCCCTTTTGTGGACCCCCGCCGGCCGAATCTATGACCTCTTGGGGGATCCCTGGAAGCCCTCTGGAGGAGTCTTGGAGGCCTCTTGGGCCGTCTTGGTGCCATCTGCGGCCGTCTTGGAGCGCTCTGGGGCCGTGTCGGGCTCCTTTTGGTCAGCCCTTAGGGCGTCCAGGAGCCAGCGTGGGCGGTCATGGGAGCATCCTGGCGCCTCCGGGGCTCCTGGACCACAGCCACTCGGCGAGTTGGGCCCCTCCTGGTCCAGGACCCGTATACATCGATCTATACATACACATACATGCATGCATACATGCATGCATGCATGTATGCATACATACATACATACATGCATGCATGTTTGTATGCATGCATGTATACATACATACATGTACATATACACAGACCTATATAGCTGTCTACCGACCTACTTACGTACATGCATACGTACATGCATACATAAGTACATACTTACCTACCTACCTACCTACCTACCTAGCTACCTACCTACCTACCTACCTGCCTACTTACCTACATACATACATACATACATACATACATACATGCACAGATCCATACATACATACATACATACATACATACATACATGCATACATACATACATACATACATACATACATACATACATACATACATATACACGCATACATACATACATACATACATACATACATACATACATACATACATACATACATACATACATACATACACACACATACATACATACATACATACACACATACAGACATCCATCCATCCATCCATTCATCCATCCATCCATCCATCCATCCATCCATCCATCCATACATACGTACGTACGTACATACGTACATACCTACACATATTCATACATACATACATACATGAATGCATGCATACATGCATACATGCATACGTACATACATGCACACATGTACACTCGTATACATACCCATCTACACTTGCATCTACATACACACCTGCATATACATCCGCGTACACCTATTATTCCACATTCACATGCACATGCATACATACCGATGTTCATGCAAACGTACACACATACATACACATGCATACATGCAGGCATACACGCACACATCCATACATGCATACCATCATACATACGCGCAGACATGTACATACGTACACACATGCATGCATACACGCATGTATGCATGCATGCGTACATACATACACGCATACATACATATGTACATACATACATACATATGCAGAACCATGTTTGTTCACTACGGCGGCCTCCCAAAGGGGGAAGAAGGTGTGATTCTCGGAACCCCAGACTACCGGCAGAAAGGGGCCCAGGATGAAGCAATCTCCCCTGGAATGGGGCTGCGGATGGACAAGAACCACGTCGTCAGACAGATGTCTGGGAAGCCGCCGAGAAGGATGAACACAACAGGGTTGGAGAAGAACAGCAACCACCATCGGCGGTTGGGAATGAGACGGTGAGCCCCCCACCAGAAAATATGTTTCGGTGTCGTGTTCGTGCTGTGCGTGCGGGCGAGGCGAAGCTGCGTGGGCGCGCGAGAGGAATGACCCCGCCGTCGCTAGGGCGATTCGGATGCAATGGACCGCCCCTCCGCCCCTGTGGGCGCGCGGTGGCCCCGTTGGTGTCCCGTTGGTGTCATGTTTGTGTCCCGTCTGTGTTCTGTCGGCGGTGGGCGGGCGCTGGCCAGGGGTGTCTCACCTTGGTTTCGATAGTGAAGTCGATGGTGAGATCGTTAATGAGATCGCTAGAACGGGATGCATAGTGAAATCAAAAGTGGCATTGACAGTGAGGTTGATTGTGACCATTTGTTGTGAGATAGAAAGCGGGGACGATACTGACATTACATCGCAGCGCAATATCGTCATCACGCGTCGTCGCTAACTCGAGGGCGCATCACCAGCATCGGCACCATCACATACATCTCATGTGCTAGCAATTGGTTCGTTTCCCCCAACCTCCCAACTTCCTTTTCACCCGAAGGGTGGTCGTATACGTAAACACAAACTGTTGGAGGTCCGCGCTGGACCCCAAAGTGTTCCTCCTCCTCCTCATCCTTACCTGTGCCCTTCATATCCTCCCTCTCCTACTCCTCCTGGTTCCTCCTCCTGGTCCTCCTCCTGGTCCTCCTCCTCCTCTCAAATGTACCCCAAGGGTTTCCACAACGTCTGGGCAACGCAACGACCAATAGCTTGGCCAAACTCTGGCCCAACGTTTGGCCGCATGGCGCTTCCAAGAGGCAGCCGTGGTAGCGTAGCCCTGTGGCGGTGCCCCGCAACTCCCTTCGTTACTAAACGATTGCTATTTTGGTAAAGACGGCTCGGGGTTGGCGGCGAGACATCGCCAACGACCTCTATCCATGGCATTATTCGGAGAGTCCGTCTGGGAACCGAATGGGCGCGACTATCTCAGACACCAACGCGGCACGTTGGGGACTCGACGCGGCTTCCGCCGTTTGACTCGAACCTTCTCCGCTTCTGGTGTCGGGAGGTGCTATTGGGTGCGTCTCCCACTCGTGCCAAAAACCAAATGTCACGAAACCGATAAGAAACTCCGTTAGAACTGACCCCCCCCCCTTGTGTTCGTGCCCCTGCCAAAACTACCGCTCTCACTCATGATGCTGCTGCTGCAACTAAGCAACTCGCGGAAGCTCACTAGCGCGCAAACCAATCATACATATTCTCACTCACGTCGCACTACTGAACGCTACTGGTCCCTATTTGGCGCCATTGTGAACACTATGCGCCGATGCAGGTTCAATCCAAGAGGAGCGGTAAACTTCCGTGATTTACTGTCTGATTCTGCCGCTGCTGGTGCCGATGCCTCTCGTCGTCCGTCGCACTGCTCTCGGGCTTGCTCGTGCTCCTGCAAGCGCCTCTGACCGTGCTGCCGCTCGTGCTGCCGCTGCCGCTCTTTCGGCTGCTGCTCTTCTTTAGCCACCTGACGTCGCGCATCGCGCCCCGCGTTGCGCGGTTATCTTCGCGCGCTCTCGCCCTCGCGCCGCCCTGCCTGCACAAGGGCGGCTCTGCTGCCAAGACTGCGACGCGCGAAGCGCGATCATCTTCGCGCCCCTAGGGGCGACCTAGCTCTTCCCGCCGCCTCTTTCGGCTCCTCGTGCTCCTGCTCTCTGCGCCTCGCGTTCCCTTCTCCTCGTCTTCGTCAAACCCTTCACCTCCTGGTCTGGACTGGACCGTACGTGCCCCACCAGACCAGCGCAAACCGCACCAGACCAGACCAACTCGCAGGACAGGCGACCAGACAAGACCAGATCGGACACAACAATAATCGACAAACCCAGATCAAACGAGACCAGAACAAGCATGACCAAATCAGGCCAAGTCAGAACGGACCAGACTGGACGACTGAGCATTTCTTTGAGTGCAGGGCTTAGGGTGGAATCCGGATAGGCGCGTACACCTTGAACACCTGCTGGTCTAGTGGATTATGGGCTTCCACGATGACATGTGTATCGGCGTGCGTGCGTGCAACGCTGGGCTTACATTACCGTGTCACTGTGCCGCTCCCTCACGGTGGGGTACAATGAATCTACTCTGCAGCGTTATGGGCTACAGAGTCCATCGCACGGGGTCCTCGTGTACCCCTGGTGGTTTTCGGGTCACAGCTCGGGCCTCCGGCGGCCGCACGGGACGATCTGGGCTCTCGGCGAGGCGCAGCCGCTGGAATGGCTGGCGGGTGCACGCGAAAAGGAGAAAAACACTTGGCTATTTCCTGGCACACACATGGTGTTCGCGCATCGGAGCCAGAGCCTGGAGGAGTGCTACTTGAACCTCCGCCTTGGCGGCTGCTACCGGAATCGGCTGTTGCGATCTCGGCACAAGTGGTATCAGCAGTCTTGCGCGCCCAGAGCTGACGAGAGTGGACCCTGCAAATAAATACTATCTCGTGGGCTAGAAAACCCTGGCTTTCTGTAGAAAGCTGCGGAGAACTTCTAGATGCGGTAGGTGATGAGATAAGCAGGGTACGCCGCCCCAACCGACGGCGTGATGAAGAACTCTGGATTGGAGAGGCTGTCGACGGATGTGGTGTAGCGATGGCTCCCCTGGCGGATGGGGAGAAGGCCTGTGTGCTGCACATCACCCAGGCAAGACATCCCCGTGGCCAATAAGCAAAGCAATATCTGATTGCTGCCGTTCGGCAAACTCCTGGCGAAGCCGCTGCCGTAGACATATTTCGCGTCACGGGCAAAATATGAGCCAAGTCCCCAAACGCTGCCAGCACGGCTGAGTTTAGGATCGAAACCCTCTGCCGAATACAAAATAGATTCGACTGCTTGTGTACCGTGGAAGACCCAGCGTGTGTGTAGACCTGGTTGAAGACGAAGGCCTTGGCTCGCCAGGTCCCGCTCGAGCGATCTTAGATACCCAGCCACAACCCCCCCTTCTTGCGCTCTGTTCTCCACGCGCTCCACACGCAACACCTGAGGGATCCCCAGGATTGATCCGTGCCGGTTCCGCCGCTGTTTGGGCGTGGACCCGAAAATTGTGAGAACGTGGCAGTGTTCCTCGCATCCATGCGGCACCTCGTACAGAGCTTGCTGCTGCGACCCTCCGTCGCCTGTCGACTGCCACCACCGGCGGCGCAGATCGCATGTAGTGTAGCCAAGAGAAGACTCTGCCTGGAATCTCTCGTTGCCGAGCACTGCTATCCACGATCGAGCGAGCTGCATCTCGGGCCCTTGGTCATCGGGGGAGATGGCAGCGTCACACAGCTGGGCTAGGCAATCTTGGCCACGAGTGCAAGACTCGCAGAGGCACTCGTTGTAGAGCAAGCAGCGGTTGGCGGATCCGGTGCGGATAAGAGCCTCCAAATCCTCCCGCTGGACCTTGTAGTCCGCCACCGCGCTTGTAGCGATTAGTGTGTGTGTGTGCGTGTGTTTTACTTGGGTTAGCCCTAGTCGCTGCCCTCCCTGGAAGCTGCGACATTCTTCGTTCGCTACCTGGCAAGTGTGTGCCTGTGTGCTTGGGTCGGGCCCTCACTTGCGAATCTCCTTGGCGAACTGTGGTTTGGGCCTCACGTGCTCATTCCTGGGCCAACTCGTGGCGCCTCTCCGCCCTCCGCGCAACAAGCGTACCTGGTGTTTTTTCCTGGCGTCACGCCGGAGGCAGTTGGAGAGGCAAAGAAGCGCCCAGAACGCCGCCGAGGCCGCCGAGAGGCGGCCCGGCGAGGAGCACAGGGCCACAGAGGGAGCCACCCCGCGCAGGCGCCCCCTCTTCGAAGGTAGCCGAGAGAGGGGAGGCGAACGCCGGGGGCGGCTGGGGGGGCCGAGCCGGAGGGGCCCCGAGAAGATCGGTCGAGCAAGACCGCAACTGGCCCCCGAGACCTGTTTTTGTGGACAAACCTCCCTTTAGTAAACCTCCCCTTAGCGAAAAACGGCCTGGGACCGAAGCCGACGGACCTGGACCCGCAAAAATGACGGCCGCGGCGCCCTCTCGCGAACCGAAAACGGCCAATTCCTTAATCCACGTGTCAGGGTAGGAGGTCTGTCCACCCCCGCGGGTCACCACGTTCTTGGAACTGCGAGCGCGCAAGCGCCACTCGCACGGCCGACTCCACAACTCGAACGGGCCCGCGCGGATGGTCCGTGGGGAGTTTCATCCAGGGGGCCACCACGTGCTTGAAGCTACGAGCGTGCACTCGCCACTTACGCGGCCGACTCGACAACTCGAACGAGCCAGCGCGGATCGCCCGTAAAGAGAGGGAGAGATCGACTGAACATCCGCCTGTCTTTCGAGTCGGGCACGAACCATGGCAAGCCCCGTGCGCTCGCTCGCGCTGGCGAGAGGCGGGGAGGGGGGACGCTCTGGTATGCAACATGCTTGAGTATATTGAGGTGCCTGTCGAGGGCCTCTGGGATGTATTTTAGGGGCCTCTCGGAGGCCTCCTGCCGGAGGAGGAGGAGGAGGAGGAGGAGGAGGAGGAGGAGGAGGAGGAGGAGGAGGAGGAGGAGGAGGAGGAATGGGAGGCAGAGGAGGAGGAGGAGGAGGAGGAGGAGGAGGAGGAGGAGGAGGAAGAAGCTAGGAGCCTCTTGGGGCCTTTCGGGGGGGAGAAGAGAGAGGACGCAGAGGTCGACGGGAGGGCTCGCCTGCGCAAGAAAGCCCAGGTTGCCTTACGCATATGCTCCGTCACGTAGCATGTGTCCTCCGACTTATTCATCTGATTGAATGGGAACTGGGGGGACACACAAATAAATAGACACAAATAGCCAGATTCCCAATATTTTCCTATATTTTCTGGGTTCCTGTTTTCCCCCCCACTTCCCATATTTTCGTATATTTTCTGGGGAATCGACGATTAATAGTGTCTGTGTGTTGTTTCCCTCCTGCAAGATGCCTTACGCATATGCTCCGTCACGCAGGATGTGTCCTCAGACTTATACATCTGATCACGGCACACCCGTCGCAGGCTCCCTCAGCCCGCATGACCTCTAATGGTAGCGCCGCCGGCCGCCTGGGCTGAAAGGGGTTCACTCGGTCAGGCCCCCAAGAGGCTCCCAAGAGGCCCCCCCCCAACTCCTCCCCAGAGGGCCCCCGAGAGCCTTTCCGAAGAGACCCTAAGAAGCATCCCTCAAAACTCTGGCCCATGTCGGCGTTGTCGTCGTCGTCGCCGCCGCCGTTGTCGTCGTCCCCCTTCAGGGTCGGCGGCACCGGCCGTAAGGCCTCCGCAATCGGTCAAGACGAGGGGATAAGGGCAAAACCGTCGGTCCCTGGACCGCCTGGACCCCTGCTGGGGTCCATCTGGTGCACTTGTTCACCCCCGGATCCGGTTTCGACGGTCCTCGGGCCCGAAAGCGAGCCCAGGAGACCGAAGAGGCAAACAAAACCTCTCGAACCTCGAGAACCTCCATCCCCCCTTCCTGCTGACCGGAACCAGCACTGGGCCACCTCGGGCCCCCAGTCGCTTCCAGGACGAGCGGAGGAGCAGCCACAGAGGGGACGACCTCGGGGGCAGGGCGCGGCGGGGAGCGCACAAAGGGGGGGCCGCACCGGCGCGGCAAAGGGGGCGGAGCGCGAAGGGCCGACGAGCGCGGCGCGCACGCCGGAGAGGCGGCGGAGGGAGACGGGCGGATCGAGCGCGAGGCCCTGGCGAGAGGAGCGGACGGGGCCCCGAGATCCGACCATGGCGTGCTGCTTGCGACAGCGAGTTCTCCGATTGGGGGCTCCGCTTCAGGGGCCTGTCAGGGGTGTGGTCCGCATCGGCGTTGCTCTGCAAAAGGAGTGCTGACGCACCATCGCTGTCTCTCCAGCTAGCCGAATTTAGAGCCACACTTTCGTCACCGATACCTGTTAGCGTTACGGTCATCGGCGTCTTCTGCAATGAGCCACTTTTCCGGCAATGATCCCGGGGATGCCAAACTGCGACATGTCCTCGTAGGTCGGCCTGCCAGGTACCAGGAACAAGCGACGTCACGCTCGCGTCTAGGCAAGTCGAAAGTGTGCGACTTCCTGGGGCTTGAGGGCGAGCTCTGGTCACAGCAAACACACGTTAGCATCGCGAAAAATCATGACCAGAGCCCTAGACTTAATCTTTCTGCGGCACTCTTAGAATGGGATCGACATGTGGGCGACGATCAGAAACAAGTCTTACGCAAGATGGCATGGCGACCTACGCCGCGGCTCACGCGGGCCGCCAGCGCGGCAAACTGTCGTGGAGACGAGCGCGCCTACGCGCGACCGTACGCGGGCAGCTTACGCGAGAATGTCGGCGCAAACGACCCCGTTTTCTTGTGCCGCTCATGTGGTCCAGGGGCCCAGTGCGAAACAAATGCCCCACCCCGCGTCGACCGACCCGAAGGTCCCAGGAAGTCCCGACGACCCTCTTCCTCGGGACTGGTCTTTCATTAGAGGCCTCCCAATGGGGTCCAAGTAGATGGGGTCGGAGGATCGCGCCGCATCGGCGATGCTTCGCAGATGCATCCCCGATGCATCGACGACGTCGGCAATGCATCGGCGACGTCGGCGAGCAGAAACTCTGGCTCACATCAAGCCGCATCGGCGATGCATCGCCGACGCGGCGCGATCCTCCGACCCCATCTAATCGCACCCAATTTAGGAGGCCTAGGTTCATCCCGCGTTGCTTTTTGATGGTCTCTGGGGCCTGGCGAGGGCCCCTGGAGGGCCGAAAACTGCCGAAAACTGCCGGTCGTGATTTTTGTCGCGACACGAGCACGTGAGCGACGAAAAGAAAGGTGTCTTGCGTGAGATGGCATGGCGACCTTACGCGGCGGTTCACGCGGGCCGCCAGCGCGGCACACCACACTGGAGACGAGGGCGCTTATACGCGACCTGACGCGGGCAGCGTACGCGCGAATGTCGGCGCAAGCGACCCAGTTCTTGCGCCGCTCGATGTGATAATGGCGACGGCCCATCAACAGCGCACCACAAGCAGTCGGGATCGCTAATCGCGGGTTCCACGCCCAGGCGCTCCTCCTGGATCGCGGGGGCGGGCCCGCGCGGCGGCGCAAGCGGATACGGGTCACGCCCATCGTGTGCCACGACGATGCTGGCGTCCTTCGGCAGCGTGGCCACGGCCGGGTGCTTGTTGATCATGAGCGTGGGCCCTCTCCACAGGCCCACCGACCACAACGCTGCCACGTAGGCACCGCCCCTCCACCAAGACACAATCAGATGAGGGCGGTATGCTTCGATCCGCCACCGTGCCCCCTGGCACGTTGAGGCGTGGTAGAATGCCGAGCGCTGTCTGCCGGGGTCCCTGGAATCTTCTAAGGGCCCTGCGCCCCCTCCCGGCCGCAGACCGCTGCATGAATCCCCACCCCACCCGGGGCTGCCTGGGCACATCAACGCCTCCCTGCTGCTCTCGAGGGCGGCCAAGATACCCAAGGTGTCTTCCAAGACGGCCCAGGCAAGCCACCAAGGCCGCCAAGATGCGGCCAAGATGACTCCAAGATGGCCTCAGTGCTGCCCTGAATTGTCATTGGAAACGCTGGGGGTGTTTTTTTAGTATTCATGGTTTCGCGTTGCGGTCGACCAAAGCAAGAAAACACGGCAACCCAAACCATAACAAACCGACACCCGCCAGACACAGAACGGGCGGAAAGCAACAACCCAGAACCGTCAAAAAACGGCAACCCAATCAAAAAAACAATCAACAGAAACGGAAACCAACAAACAAACTACAATGAAATTCAATTAAGAACCGGATCGCAAAACGAACCAAAAACGGCGAGACGGCAATCGCCAAACGGAAAACAAACTGACCAAGTAACATAACAAAAACGTCGATCTTGAAAAAGGCAAAACGCCCCCAGCGTCTTTAAAACACATCCAAGGTGCTGCCCCAGAGGCTCTCGAGACGGCCCAAGTGGGCTCTAAGAGAACCTCCCGCAGGGCCCGATGATGGATTGTCTCATTCTCACCTTGCCGGGCTGCCACCAGGTCAGTACAGATGACCCATTAGGACCTTAATAGGGTCTCAAGAAGCTTCCAATATGGACCAAGGGCAACCCAGGAGGTCCCCAAGTCGGCCAAATAGAGCCCTCATACGGCCCTTAAGGTCCCTGAGAATGCCCCAAGACGAAGACGACCCAGCTTGCCTCCCGCGACAGACTCCGAATGCGCCCAGATGGCAGAGCACCCTCACACGGCCCAAGGATCCCCCAGGAGACCCCGAGACGCCCCCAAGAGGCTCCCAGGGGGACTCCAAACCCAACAGGCCTTCAAAGCCTTCAAGAGGCCCGCAAGGTCACACGTGACGGCCACCTGCGCCTCCCCGAATAGTCGCCACCCAGAATGCTTCGCTTGCACGGTGGCGGGACATATCGCAGGCAGCTGGATAGCCTCTCTTATCCTTCCGAGGTGTTGCATCATGGGAAAATCTGGCACCTCGGGGTTTGGCAAATTCGGAAGCCAAGTCAGCTGGAAGCCAGCGGCCTGCAACGCGTCGACGTACGGCTGCCTCCAGGAGCCGAAGCCCGGCCCGATCAGGAGGACGCGTTGCTGGGTCCTGAGGTACTCTGAAAAGCGGTCAGCTGGATCCTCCGCCTGTGCTGTCTGCACGGGATTATCCGATACCAGGGAAACAAACAGCGGCATGACCATGCACTCTCGGAAGTCCGCGCGGCTTTCTTTGGATCTGCGCTTGGCCCCTCTGGCGGCCCTTCCGTCGCTGCCCCTGGCGCGCCTTGCGCGCCAAGGAGGGGGGTCCAACGCCGATCCGAGAAATCCGCGTGGAACTCCGAAACTTTTATGATTATGCATTTGTTTGCTCTTCGAGATACGCTGCCCCCGTCAGGGCAGACTTGACCGTCAAACTTCTCGCATGTCCTGCATTCCGTGCTCTCCTCCGATACGCCATCGCCCCCAGGCAGGACTCGTTCCGTAGCCTTTTGTGGTGCATTGCGCTCTGCGCCCTTTTCTGCTCTCCATTCCTCCCTGGTCTGAGACCTGGTGCTCAACAATGTGGCAGCTGTCCGTTCTGGTCGCCCCTTGGCCTTCGTGACTGCACGAAACCAATCAGAAGCAACCGACAGCGACCTGTGCACACCCGCCGCGCAACCTGAAACAAACGACATCGTCTTTGCGCGCGCCTCTGTGAATCTGGACTGTGCGATTGACCTCTTAAGCGGTCTTGTCCAGAAAGGTTCGAGCACAAATACCTTGAACCAACATGGTCACCGATTCATGCGATGCTGGTTGTGGTCGACAATGGCGGCCAACACAACACGATGTACCACACACGCACGCTACAACACACTGTATACATGTGGTGTGTATCGCCTCTGGCGGTGAAGTGCACACAAAACACCTGACGCCTACATGTTTCAACCCCCCTGCAACGTAACAACAGCAAATCCAACATGCTCGAAACCACAACCATACCAAACACAAGGGCGGAAAGCATTTGCAGAAAACCATCCCACCCGACTGGTCAACAGTTGGTGCAGTCGATGCGGATTTGATGCGCAGTCGTGTGCTATTGAAACTGTATGTGTATATGTATATCAATATCTGTACACGCATTGCACTCGTAAAACAGCCTTCGGGTGATAATGGGATTGGGGGCGCAGCTCTTTCGGATTGCGATGATTTAGAATCGAATCGGCAAAGTTTCTCTCCAAGCATCTGTCTAGCGAATTAGCGGTGCGTCCGACGATCTGTGATACAGCGAGACACGCACGGGACGCCGTGGATGAGCCCACGACGGTTCCATATAGCTCCAATGCGATCTCAGAAAACCTCAGAACGCCCTACAAGCGCCCGATGAGCCGTTCAATACGGTCAAATCGCGTTAAACGTAGCACCAACTATTGCCCAACATGGGCCCAAGAAAATTGGTCGACGGCCGAGCCGGCCCCAAACACGGCCAACGGCGCACCGAGAAATCACAAAACAATCCACGAGGCAACAAGCACTGATGCTCTTTAGGTATTCGTGTGATTGTAGCATGCTTACCGCAACTTCGGTCTTCATGGCGCCAAATACGGGCCACAGGTTCCCCTCTCCCAGCCGAAACAAAGGGGTGCGCCCTGGGAGTAATGCGCAGCAAACATTTCCCATGGTGGACGGAACAGACCGCCCTCCTTGCCACAACACATCGGATCTTGCGTTCACCCCATCAGCTGCTGCACCCGACCCCCTGCACTGACAGGATCAATCATTACCGAATCGAGAACTCGGATCGAGTCGAAATGCGTGTCGGATCGGGCTGGATCGGTACGGAGACCGACTCGAATCAGATCAGCCGCGCCAAAATGCACAACAGCGTCATGTAATCATCGGGCCGCACCGGATCGTCGAAATACCAGGATCGAATCGGATCGGGCTGGTCAGAATCGATTTCGAATGGATCGGTCGGATCGACATGGACCCTGCAGTGACTGCGCCCGGAAGACCTGAGTCCCAGGGCGTGCAGCTCAGAGTGCAGGTCCCTGCGCTTGTCGGCCGAGACCATCTTGTCTCCCTGAACGGGAGATCGAACACCATGTATCCTGGACACTCTGGTTTGGCGGACAGGGGGGAGGTGAATCCATTTTTCCGAAAAGCGATTGGCAACACTTCAAACGTTAGTCCCCTGCCGCTGTGACAGATTGTGGGCAGGACTGTCAAAGCAGGGCTCGAGCTAAACAGTGCTTCTAGTTTTCGTTTTGTTTCCGTTGTCCTTCGTTCTGTCTTCGCTCTGCCTTTGCAGCGAAACAACATCAAAACGAAACCCGTCCACGAAATCGCCACATCACCGTTTAGCTCGAGCCCTGGGTCAAATGTTTACCATAACTCACGGCGACGCCCACGCCCAAGAGCAGGCCTGGGACCCAAATGATGGATCATCGCCCTGGGGAGCTGCGGCGCGACAGGCCCCCCCCCCCTGGCATCCCTTGGCCGCCATCCTGCTTTAGGGAAGCGGGGGTGGGACGCAGAAGGCGAACAGGAGGGCATGCTCAGCTGTCCAGATGCAGTCGTCGTGCCATCAGAATGAGGAGCACACAAAGGACGTACGCGCCCAACTATGTACGTTAACACGGCCCCTCGACCCGCGAGACCAGCCGCGTCATACGGGCATTTGCGCAATGCGCACTCTCGAAACCAGCGTGGATTAACGTACGTGTACGTCCTTCTTTCGCTCCTGACAAAAGGAACGGATGCTGAGGCGCGAAATGGCTTTCCTGGCCACGGCGGGCCTCGGCCACCGACGACTTCGACGACAGCACTCAGGGGAACGGCCCGAGAATCCGAGCCTCTCCTGAAAACAGCGTGATCCTGCTTTCAGCGTCTTGGCTGTACCTGCGCCTTTCCGAGATCTTTCCCTGGGCATCATCGTCGCCGTCCGCCGAGAGACTAAAGGTGGAGGGGGAGCAGGAGGAGGCGGGAAGAGGAGGGAGTGACGTGAGCGGAGCCGCTGAAGCCCACCTCCTGGTATTTTGGAATTCCAGCAACTAGACTGGGCTATAAAGACGGCCAAACAAGCAATCTCTGGATCCATTCCGGGATCCATCCTGGCCAACTTTTCGAGCTGCGTCCACCCGTGGCGAGGAGAAATCCAGAACCGCCCCATAACTTCAGAAACAGCAGCATCGACTTCTGTCTTTCGGTGCGAAGCCTTGATCAGGCGGGACAGCACGGCCCACACCTGCTTCGGCGCGATGCGGGGCCCTGCTGAAGCGGCCTCCAGGCGCGGCAATATTTCGGCCTCGCACTCGTCTGGGCAGCACATCATTGTCGGGTGCGCGCCTGGATCGCGGCAGCTGTTGATGCCAGACCTTCGCTTCCAGATCATAATCTGCGCGATCGTACGAGGAGAGGATGTGTACATATCCACTGCCGGGGGAAGCGATGCCTCAGGGCGTGAGGGGGCAGAGGACGTGGATACACTTTTGCCCCCCTGGGGCTCGAGAGTATCCCGCCGGGGGAACCGATGTCTCAGGGCCCCAGGGCCCCTCTGGCCTCGAACATATCAACATCCACTGCTCCTCCAGTCTAATCTAAAGCAGTGTCTGCGAGGTGGCCCTCCTACCGCCTACAGCACAATCAATGAGAAAAAGAACGACAAGGAAAATCGCTACAATACGTCACAGGACTCGACAACATTCAAACTGCGTTACTGCGCCTCACACGGAACCAGAGCAAGTGCTTTATCCAATCTTTGCGATGGGAAAACCACGCTTCCCTGTCTTGTGTCACATCTGCCCATTTGAGATCGAGGCCTCGGAAATAACTGTCGTACTGGCGATCCAAACTCCAGGGCTCCGCAGGCAGAGGCCATGTACAAGCTCTGGCCCCGGACTCGCGGCTCCGAGGACCGCGCCGATCGCAAAACGACAGCGCGAGCAAACCATGCCGACCACCAGAGGAACGAAGAACGGCACAAGCATAATCTCTCGGAGCTCCGCGCGGATTTCTTGGATCAGCGTTGGGCCCTCCTCCCTGACGCGCGGAGCGCGCCAGGGGCGCCGGCGGCGCCGCCAGGAGGGCCCAGCGCCGAGCCAAAAAATCCGCGCGGAGCTCAGAGAAATTATTGCTGATGTTTTTCTTGTTCTTCGAACCACGTCGCCGGGTGAGGCCGATCTTGCGACCGAACGAAGCGACCGCGGTCAAAGCCCACTCTGGCGGAAAGCGCTGAGCCCTGGGCACGTAGTTCGGAATGAGCACGCCCGGGCCGCCTCCCTTGGCCTCGGTTCGCGCCCCCAGAAACAACGCCCTCCTCGCCCAAGGCCGTCTCTTGGAGTGCCTCACGCCCAGCCCCACTCCCAGCACGACCCCCAGCCCTACGCCAAGCCCAACGCCAAGCGCCGGTCGGGGACAGGACGATAAGCAACGGATGCCAATACCTTGAATGGCTTGGTTGTACCGATGGCCTCCAAAATAATGCCTTAGCGTTTTGACCCGGACAGCAAACACTTATGACAAGTCCAGGTGCGCTGTACGATAAAGCAAAAGACCAACGCGTGGCCAAGAGCAAAGGCAACGTATGCTCATGCGTCCCGAAATATACCCAGCCCTGAACCCAGCCATAATGAGGTACGCTGGTTTCCTGTGCGCTAGCCAGGTGAATGGAAGGCACGTCTCAGAGTCTAGATGAGTCGATCTACGGCTACAGTAAGCAAGTGTAGGCTTAAGCAGGCTAGTCAAGTAGGGGTACAATGTAGCTAGGGCGTTAAGCTCGATGATTGTGTGTGTGTGAGAACTTGCATGTTCACAATCACGCTACAGTCGGTATACCGCTAAGAGCAACCTTGAGCAATTGGCGAAGCCAAGATGATCCGATCATCTTCGGGGCGCTTCGCTGTGGGACCAAGGAACACCTCTGTAAGCCAAGCGCGCAGTCCTATACACGATCTTGTCTCCGACGCGCGCGCACACATATACACGATGCGTAGCCTACACCGCGGTGAGGTGGTCCGCGCGGGAAAAACTGCAGTGGGGCACGCAAACGGTAGCGATTAGGACATGGCACTTCGTGCGCAGCAAGTGGCACCAGACTCTGCAGGCGCCAGTGCAAGGAACACTTGTTCTACTCCGGCGATGCGCATCACTATCGCGCCGTATGCTTGCGGGAGACGCAAGCATCGATTGCATCTGCGCGTGCCGTGGAACATTTCGAGCCCAGTCGTGCAATCGCGGCCGATGGGGCGATCCGAGCGAGCGGCAGGGGTACACACGCAAGATAAACACGATATGTGCAGGACACTAGCAGCGCAAGGCACGCGCGCGCGCAATCGCACACACACTCACACGCATGTCGCGGTGTGATGAGACAATAGAGCCGGTCAATCATGACGACAATATCCCGGGTTTAATGCCACGAGCACCACTGCGAGCAAACCGAAAGATCAGGGAGCACGCGCCACCAGCGAAGGAAGCTTGAAGGCCGCTTGGCTTGCCTCGCTTTTCCTTCTCCTCATCTTGCCGGTGAACGGCCTCTCCTTCCTCTCTTTCTCTCTGCCCTTCCCCTCCCCTTCAATCCTCCTCGTATGCATATTCTTCACCGTCCTCCTCCCCGCCTGCCTTTCCTCCAATCATCCCCCCCCCCCTCACCCTCCTCCTGCTCCTTCTCCTGCCCTCTTCCCTCGTCCCGCGGTCGTGCAACTGGACGCGGCTTGCGTGTCAAGCCTGGTATCGTCCGCCCGTCTGCTTTGCAACTGCTCGTCTCTCGTCCCTCCTGCTGTTCATGTTCACTGCCTCCTCCTCGACCTCACTCCTCTTTCTTCCCCTTCCCATTCCGAGGCCCATTCCATCCCCCTCCCTCCTCCTCCTCCACCTGGCTCCTCACGTCGTTTCCACGTTCTTTTGGCACGCCCCCGGTGCCAAAACTCACTGGGGCGGTGTTCTGGACCCAAAGTGGCCCCGAATCGCTGAACGATCGGTCAAAGATGCCCAAGACGGCCTCCAGTCGGCCGCAAAAGCGCCCAAGATGTCCAAATATACCTCCAAGAGACTTCCCAAGAGGGCCCCGAGAGGTCAGAATCCTGGGTTGTCTTTCGGCTTCTCAGCGGTTTTTGGGTTCTCTATTTTTTCGAGCTTCCGACGCTCCAAGACGCCCCAAGAGGCCCCCCCAAGAGGCACCCAACCAATCGGGCCCCAAGACAGCCAAAGAGGCGTCCCCAATTTTTTTGTTGCGGCTCGGTTCCAGCGGGCAGCCACGCCCCAGGCTGGGGCAGATCTGCGCTGCAAGCGGCAGCGCCCCTTCGGCGTGCTGAACTCGCCGCTGGCCTCCGCCTTCGGCTCGTTCTCGATGGCGGCACCTCGCCGCTCTGCACGGCTCCGCTGGGCCTTCCCTGCTTCGCCAGTAAGTCTACATCCGCGCCCATCTCCGCGTCGACCCGCGCTCCGCTCGGGCTCGCCGTGGGCTCGACGCCCGTCTCCTCCGCGCTGTGCCTCCTCTGATTAGCAGGTGGGTCCTTCGTGCCGAACTGGACTCCGCTCGGTGTCGGCGCCCGTCTCCTCGGCCCGAATTGGCGCAATGCAGTCGGCCTCGCTCCCATCTTACACAAGCTCCAGCTCCGCAGCAAAACTGGCGACGCAACCTCTGGAATTAGCCGCTGGGCCACAGACCGCGCCACCAGAGACCTCCGGAGGCTTGGCCCCGACACCCAGCGACGGGGCGGGAGGCCCCCCTGCGTTCTGACTCGAGGCACTGCTGCCAGCAAAACGCACGACGTAACCTTCCAAGATAGCCGCTGTGGTTACCCCCGGCGGCGGGGCAGGAGGTCCCACTTCGTCCTGGCGCCCGCCCTTCTCCTCCACGTTATTGGTGCTCTTCGTCCGCGCCGCGTGGTACGCCTGCGCCAGCGGCGGGTTGCCTGGCTGCAGCCCCATCAGGATCCTGGCTAGGTTCATGGCGCCCTGCTTGGTAGCCTGGCCGCTGCAGGGCTCGCCGAGATCCTTCATGCGCCCCCTGGCGATGCTGCCGCATATCGTGTAGTAGTGCACCTCCAACGCCCCGCCAAACTCGGTCGCGTTCGTGGGGTGAGGCTTCTGCGCCCCGATCTGCCCTCTCGCAACTCTTGCGCCTGTCGGCGTCGTCTGCGCAGCCTTGGTTGGCGAGCACTGCCCCACCACCCACTTCTCGCACACTTGTGCCTCGCCACCAGCGAGGCGCACCGTCTGCGTCGCAGATGACGGCCCCCGTCCTCGACGACGTCGTGGCTGCTCCTCTTTATCATCTTCTCTCGCTTCTCGAGCTTCGCATTTGCCCTCTCCCGCTCTTGTTTCGTCGGCCTTGGCTGTGGCGGCTCTGCCTCTGCTGCCGCCATCAGCGTCGCGTAAACCCTCTTCCTGCTCTGCGCCGCCACCTCCTCCGCAAACTTCCACGGCACCTGCACCTCGCCGACGATGCCCTCGACGAGCTCGTCCGCCAGGTGGTTGCCCACTATGCCCGTCATGTTCACCCCGTTGTTGACGGCGTCGACTATGCTCATGTGGCTCTTGACCTTGACCACCGCGACCTGCCTCCCCACCGACGCTCTTCTGTTCCTGCCTCACAAGTCCTTGTGCGTCTCCGGCATCCTCCTCCTCTCGATCATGGCCACGCCTCGCATCGCGTGACCCGAACCGGTGACGTGCCATATGTCCCTGTTGACACCCTGACGCCACCCTGGTATGCCGCCCGCGCTGCCCACGCTGTGCCTGCTGGCACCCTCCCTGGTGCTCAGGAGTATCCAGCCCCAGGCGATTTTCCTCGCGCCCGCGTCCTGCGTGCGTTTGCCTCCTGAAGCGTCGCCAGCGACGTTCGCCCACGCCCCCTCCTCAAGAGCATAGGGCCCCCCCGCGATCTCACGCAGCTCCTCGCCCGGCTCTGGCGGCGCCTGCGCCTGTGCCCAGCTCTTCGGCAGAATGCCCCTGAGCCATAAGCATGGTTTTGTCGCCGCGCCTTCCTCCGCCTTCCCCCGGTGCCTCTTCGTCTTCTCGCAGGTCTCTATGATGTCGTTGCACTTGCACGCCCACATGCGATGCTCCGACGTCTCGGGCCCCCCTCGCACCTCGAGCATAAAATGCTCTCGGTCTCCAAGCCCAAATCGGCGACGCGCTGCCGCGGCCACGCCCCACCTGTGTACATGGCGGCCATGGCCCCCAACTTCTCGAAGTTGCCTTGCTTGCGATGCCTGCGCAGCGACGCCCTTGCCGATGAAAGATCTGCTCCTCCTTCAAGCCCTCCTCCTGCGTGGAACTCTGCAGCCTTGCTCCACTGTCCCCGCTCGATGCTCTCGGCGATGGCCATCTTCAGCTCGCTGGTGTCCGCGACGGCGTCGATGCCGCTGCC